TAGAAATTGTATTTCTAAAGATTTATATATAATTCATATTTCATTTGGTAGACAATAAATATTCAGTAAGATACTAAAAACGATTATTAAAGCCCCATTCCCGGCAAAATTTCAATTTTTAAGAAAAATCTAATTTTTGTATAATGTTATAAAGATTTATAAATATAATACGGAATTGCTAGTTTAACTGAATTTAGACATTCCTAAGTATGAAAAAAATGTAAAATAATACTGAAATTTGATTTTTTTTGTGTTCCACATAAAAAATAAACGCGGATGAATTTTTCATGTTGATTTTGTGATAGGTCGTGAGAAGAAATATCGTAGGCGCCGAAAACATTAGCCTATCCAACGCTGCTGGCTAAGCCGAGCCTTACCTCGATTTTAGGTTCTGTTATCACACATAAAACGGCCGACATGATATTTTCCGTTGCTAGTATTGACACTTGTGAAATATAATATTTCATAGGAATTATTTCAAATTTGTTAAAAAACTGATTCTGACTGTGATTTTGACACTTAAACAAACATATCTCAGTCTAACCGAACGACCGCATTGTGCGAGATTCGAAGTACAAAAAGTAATCTCATTAGAGAGGGCGCACTTTATTGACTGTATAAAGTATACATAAAAGCGAGAGTATTCCAGTGGATGCGATCTACAACCGAGACAGTACGTACAGTACCTTGTTTAGCTGTAGTGCACAGCAAATTAAATTACTGTACCAATAAAATGAATGCTTTTATATTGCTTTTACGTGAATTTTCGGTCTGACATTTTTTTCCAAACTGTAAACACAACACATTCTTCGCGGTCACGATGCGAAATGCATTGTAAATATCAGGTCGCGCCTCCTAAACTCTGCCCGCTAATTGGTTAATTTTTTTCGTGGGGGTCATGTGGCTGGGCAAAAATCCCATGTGCTTGGCTGTCACAACGTCAGATCGCCCAAAGTTTCATAGTGCGTGACAGCTTGCTGAATTTTTAATTAAACAAATTTATTAAAATAAATAAGAAACCCTCGTGGTCAAATCTAAAATAAATCTAACAAATTTAAATTTCATTCTCTGCAAATTTCCTCCGTAATTAGCAATGTTTTTGGGGAATGTGAGTGTAATTTACATGTAGACCAATATATGAATCTAATGACATACCAAATCCGAATTAAACGGCTACTGAAAAAGAGCCGTCGTAGAAACAATTGCTTTGAGTTCCTTTTTCATTTCAGGGATGAGGTTTTTTTTTTTATCTTTCGGTGTGATTTAAACATGCTAATTCTCAGAAAATTTTTTCCAATTTTATTATATTACTACCTTTTATTACATAGATCTTTTTCAAAACATAACTGCTTTTATAATATTATATAGACCCATTAAACACAAAAACTGCTCTGGCTTCGGGGGCTTCGTCCCCCACCCCACTGGGGCCCTTAGGCAACCCCTGGACCCCACGCCCAGAGAACCCCCCTTGAAATGACCTGGCTACGGGCCTGAGTTGCGCACAGTGATAAACTGCCCGTCACTGACTTTCACTGTACGCAACAACAACCAAAATGGGTGTAGTAGCGCTCAACGATAAACTGCCGAGAAACGATCGGATGGGAGCGACTCAAAAGAGCTGCGTTAAAACCGGATTAAAAAAAATTAATAATACAAGCTGGAATTGTCAGATAGGCCTAATAGTGTAAATCGTGTAGCTAAAGGCATGTTTTGCATAATACATTAATATTTAAGGACTACAACTTGGAAGTTTGATTTTGAGCATGAGGTGAACTTATGCATTCGATACACTGCCCATCAACTGAATTGAATTTTATCCTATTCATTATCACTGTGCGCAACTAGAACCAAAATGGGTATAGTAGCGCAGAGTGATAAACTGCACATCACTAATTTCAATTGTATCCTGTATTATTTATCACTATGCGCAGCTAGAACCAAAATAAGTAGAGTAGCGCACAGAGTGTTAAACAATTGATTCCCTAAGTTACTAGAAACAAAGATACTAGAAATACAAGATAGAGTTCTCCACACAAAAAAAGTGTTCCACCGAAATGCATGGTGGGAATACGAAAAATGGGACGCCCCCTACAGCTGGATCTAAAAAAAACTTGTGCCAAACTTTCGTTACCAAGTCGTCGCGTATTTTATTATCAATTCTCAACAAAGATACTAGATATAAAAACAAACTGGAATAGACACCTAGACAGTGACATCGGTGAATACATAACATCCTTGGTGGCGGTAGAAATCGTTGCTATTATCCAAATAATACACAAAACAATTAAAGCATAATCATGAATCGGTAAAGAATAAAACAACAATAACAGCGCAGAATCGCATGGCCGGACGCACTCTTAGTGAAAAAGTTTTCCTCCATTAGTGGAAAACGAAGGGCGCCTTTTGCGTCTGGATATACTTAGCAACAGAAGGGCGCCCTAAACGTTGGGCACGAAGTATAGGAAACTTGCATGGTTAAAAAGAAGGGCGCCGCCTACGTTGGGCACGACTTCCGCCTCATTTTTACAATGCGAGAACTCCATCTTGTATTTCTAGTATCTTTGCTAGAAATCGTATATATGTGATTCTGGCAACCATTTCATTTACAAGATGGCCGAGAATCGATCGGATGGGAGCTACTCGAGAGAGCTGCGGTAAAACCGAATTTTTCTTAATAATACCAGCTGGAATTGCCATATAATAGTGTAAATCGTGTAGCTAAAGGCATGTTTTTACAACTTGGAAGTTTGATTTGAGGATGAGGTGAACTTATTCATTAGCGCCAACCATTCATTTTGGGCTTTAGGCCAACTTCGGCCGCCGACACCTTCGGCCGATCCCTGTCGAACACCAAAATGTATGGAGGGCCCTTTGAGTGCTTTGCCGATTGGAAGTTGAATGCGCGCTATTGTTTGTCACGCTGATATACAGTGGTTGAATGAGCGCTATTAATATTATATCTATTCAATTCTTAACCTCAAATTCAGAAACACTCAAGCTTACATTGTTACATATATATAGGTCTATCACATAACATGTCGCCACAATTAATATAATAGTGTGTTAAAATTTCACTGATAAAATTATATAATTTGTGAAAAAATCGTAACGAATTAAACATGGCAAACTTTGTGCTGCCACTTACACCATGGTTAACACAAGCAACATATTTGCAAGATTTTTAACATTTTGACGATAATAATTGTTAAAGGTAAACATTATTGCTTGTTATCGATTAGGCCCAATAAAAAAAAATTATTAGTTTATCACCCTCGCGCACATGCCTTCTATGGTACTGGAAAAACAAAATTTTTTGGATTTTTTTTTTTTTAAATATTTTTTATTTATTCTTTTTCATTTATTTTATTATATAGTTAGTAGATATTGTTTGCATTATCTAAATCATGTTTTACTTTGAATACCAATGCACCAGCAAACAACCCAAGGGTAATATTTGGCTTTAGCAAAATTTAAAAAAATAAAAAAAGCCTCCCTCCCTCCCTCATCACTTTTCCTGCCCAGATAGGGGTATAAACTAATAATATTTTTTATAAGGCCTTATAGATCTCATTTTTTACATGTGCACTTGTTTACTATTCAGTAATGTAAATATAAAGACCTGAATTTTAAATCACCAATAAATTAAATATTTGATTGAGTAAATTAATTGATTGGCTTTAATGATATAAAGTGTATGTACATTAAGGGCATGAGATTAGAGAGATATTCCTAAAGAATTTTTATTGACTAATGATTGACAAATTTACTCTAGATTTCTTTTTCCAACTCTTGTAAATAACACACTTTCATCACCCTCACTAATGTGTTATTTTACATCCGATCTTGTGTGAAAAGATAACATGAACAGACAACAGACATAAAAATAAAATTATTTAAAAAAATATTTTATTTTGTGGATAAAGGACGAAATTTGTGCACATGTATCATTCTATATTTTATTTGACGAAATTCTATTTTGTGGACTGAACTAACGAAATATGAATAAAAATACAGTAAAAAATGCGTTTTGTAGTCTATTAATAAATAAAATACTGGAGCTTATACTTA